AAAGAGTGGTGAAAGGCTTGGGGGTGACCTGAAAAAAGGAATGCAGTAGAAGTCGGTTGGCTGAGAAAGAATTGACAACGTATATTTGCAATAACGTGTCATTCAGTTTGTGATTCAGTATTGAAACTGTTTAGTCAAGTAGCTAAAGTGCAGTGATGCAGACACATAAGAAAACTGAACATATTTTTCCATATAAAGTGGACTCTTAGAGGTGGAAGGATGGGTTTAATTTTTAATACAGCTTAAACACTCAAAAGGCTTCAAAGCTCTGGAGGCTGTTTGCGTGAAATCTGCTCAGGAGCACTTTGAAGCACGTAGATCAGCAGACGTAGGTCTGGCTACCAAGGGCAGTAGAACTTGAGATACCAGAGGGGAGCTGCAGAAAGGTAGGCAGGAAGTTGCTGGTCTTTTGTTACAAAGACTGTTCTCTGAAAAGAATTAAATGCCTGCTAGGTATGTGTATGACCTTTTCAACAAGGAAGTAAGCCAAGCCGACTTCTTCCATGCTTGCTGCTAACGATGGGAACTTTTTTGCTCAGAATCCTCCTGTTATCTCAAGAAATTATATACAGTTATCCTTCCTCCCATTTTAACTTAAAAATACATCCTTGGATGGCTGAAAATACTCCCGCTTCAAAGCGAGGAAGAGATGCATCACTTCCCGGCTCTCCAAGTTTCCAACCTTCCCTGGTATTCCTAATTTACCCATAAAACTTTGCCTTCAGAGGGAGTTTGGTTTTAGTCAAGGGAGCAGATTTATGTGACAGTCAACCCTGGTGTGCTCCTAATGAAACTGCATGTCCCAGAAGGCTGAGAAGGCAGTGGGGTGAGTGAATCCTGTCTGAAAGGGGGATACAGGATGTAAATTTGAGCCTGGAGGTTACAGTACCAGCATAAATATAGTTACTAAGCAACATAACAGCTTCCTTTCACACAGAGACTGAAGTTCTGACAAGCATCAAGTCAGTGGTTTTTCTTCATTCCCATTTATGTATCTTGGGATATTTTTAAGGGATGATGCTTCAGTGATTGATTGAATTTTCTTTTGGAAGATCAGTTGTGGAAACCTGAGGCCTGAGCCGGACTTCCAGCAGATACACCATTGACACCAGAAACACCAAATAATTGACTTTCAAGATAGGGGTCCCTGGAGCGAGAGGCAGTGACTTAGGTGAAGGTAGGACGTTCTGCTCACGCAAACGGCCAAGTCTGTGTGTTCTAAGCGTTATGGATATAAAAATAGTTGTCCAAGAAAAGTTGTTCTGCAGAGCTCAGCTCTTACAAGGGCCTTTGAAATCTGTCTCTGCCATTGCTGCTTGACTTGCTCTGATGGGGGATCATGCTGCAACCTTAGGAACCCATTTAGTGGTCACTGATGGTTATATTTGCAAACAAAGAATCTTATTTTAAAGATACAGTAATAATTTAACTTGTGCTGGTCATCTGCTCAAAACCATGACTTTTCTTAAGGTAAAGGTACTTAACTCAAGCAACTTCAGATACACACAGAACGGGATTTTACACATGTTGGACAGAAATAAGAGAATCAAACCGCGACCAGAAAGATTCCAGAACTGCAAAGATGTTTTTGATTTGATTATAACATGCGAAGAAAGAGTCTATGATCAAGTAGTAGAAGGTAAGGACCTTGAACTGATAAACCAAGTTAACTTTTGAGTGCTTTTTTTCCCTTCCCCCTGAAGTTCTTCCCCCGTCTGGAGACATCTCTGCCTCCTCTGACTGCTGCTGCTGGAACACCTGCAGGGACAAGAGCTCGCAGCCCACTGATGTAGGCGCTCTCTACCAGGGAAGCGCTGGCTGAACGCTTACTGTGAAAAGATGCTGGTGTTGGCAGCTATGCAGAATGTGTATGTGTATTGATTTTCAGGCCCGACATAAGGAAATAGCAAGAATTTGGAAAAACCCAAATACATGTTTAGTTTGAAAATGCTCATGAATCTAGAAAACTATGAAGTTGTATGTGATGAGCATTTTTTCACCCTGTGTTGATGGAGAAACAAAGTCTTAAGCTGCCTGCCTTACGCAGCTTCCCTTCTCAGTGGAAGACTTCTGTGACCTACCAAGCAGTTTATCCACGATAAATACTTCCTGTACAGGTGGAGAAACTGTCCTCGAGCGTGGTTAACACTCAGCAGACATGCTATGGCTTTGCCCTTCAGTTGAGTCAGTGAGGTATGCTGAACGAATCTCAGCTGGGGATTGGGTTCTGCGTGAAGACAGTGCAGCAAGCTTGGTGTGAACTCACTGACAGTCACGGGGTTTCAGCAATGACTCAGCCCCTGGGCTGAGAACCCTGCATCTCTGGAAATTCTAGACATGGGCTTAGGTGAGGGTTACGTGCTCCCTTTCCATTGAAAGACCAGCCAACTGAATCAGTATCACATAATTTAAAGGCTGTTGCTCACGTCACAAGCAGTACAGAGCACAATACATTTGGGCTTCTGTGAGCTGAGCAATTAGCGTTCTGAATGTTTAAGTGATGTGTTTGAAACCTATTGGTAAGTTCTGAGAGCAAGTGCCCTGCTACTTGAATATCCAGATCTTCAGCAAGTCTTACATAGAAAGCAGCTTTCACTCCAGTGTTTATGGGGAGTATCCTGAGGAAGGGAGCTGAAGAGCAATCAATTGCTAATTTTCCACTTGTGCACCCCTCTTAACTTCATCGTAATGCTCATCGTAACTGACCAGTGAAAGGAAGAAGGCTTGAGTGCTACCAGATGGCTCTAGATGTAAGCTGAAATGTCAAAATGGTGCCTCAACAATTTTGCCAAACTGAAGGTGCATAATGGGACTACGAAAGAATAACTTGTAGCTTAAAACTGTGTGTAATAGCAAGGTTGTGTTCGAGAGGCGTAATAGTAATACATGAGTGGATTAGTATGGAAAGGGTGTTTTATTTCCCACACCCCCCATGCCTTGTTACTAAGCAGAACACATTAAAACTACAACTTTTTAACATGACTATCAGTTCACTGTCAAGGAGTTCACCTTGCAATTTAATTGTCAGAGTATTGGATGTACAGTAGGAAATTGGGCAATTAAAACTCTCCAGGTGAGGAACCCCAAAATCGTTCTTGACTTTTGAGAATCTTGGTCTTTAAAGACTGTCAGAGTAAGGTGAGCAGTAACTTTACTTGACCAGAGCAAATAAACTGTCGTGACCTTCCGCAAAACTGAATGCATTTGTTTCTGAAATCCATGTCATTTTTTACGTAAGAGGGACTGTTGTTTAAGGCAATGTTAAATAAACATTTTTTTCTGAAAACAAGTTTGGAGAAGATCAAGTGGACAATGTCTGTGTATTTTCAAAAATCCTATGAATGCTCTGTGTACAACATGATACCCTTCCACCCAAAGTTTTGCTGTTACGTGTGTCTTGTTTTCAACTAGATTTAAATTCCAGAGAGCAGGAGACATGTCAGCCAGTACATGTGATCAATGTGGACATTCAGGATAACCACGAGGAGGCAACCCTGGGTGCTTTCCTTATCTGTGAGCTCTGCCAGTGTGTAAGTAGAGAAGGCTCATTGCCTATGGGCACATGGACCCAGCTGACTGCACTGGGGTGGGGGTTTCCTTAGTACTCCCTAAAGGCGCTGCGCCTTGCGGGAGTTCTGCAAGATTCATGTCCAGACAAATTCTTGTGATTATTTTTGGAGCTGTTGTGCAAACAGATGAAGTGTGACAGAGTTCATGGTTTCCAAAGCGGGCCGCGTGCATTCCAAACCTGATAGCTGACGTGGAGTATTGCAGAGCACTGCACATAACCATTGCACGTGTTGAGCCCATGCTGAAAACCACTGTTTATGGCAAAAACGTCCTTTTCAAAAGCAGTTGTAATATGTGGGACTTGAACATCAGAGTGGCATTCTGAATCATGATATCCTGGAAAAACATCCTCTGTAGGTGTATTTTATCGCACCACCCTGTTGTGTGTATGATGTGAAAGGAGAAGCTGGTGCCTTCCGTCATCTGTATTCGGGGGCCCCAGCCCTTGAGGTGAGACTGAAATAAGCTGCACTGGAAACAGTCGATGTAACTGTCAAGAGAACAGAGAAAGAGCCTGTGTCCTTCCACAGTGTGCAAGTTGATGAGTTCACCTATTCCAGTGTGGCAACAGGCTTGCTTTCACTCCAGCCTGTGTGATCTATTCTGGTCTTAAATCCTTTCCAGATTCAAACAGCCTCAGAGAGAGTTCAAGCGCTTGAAATTTTAGCCATCTGTTCAGCGTGCCTGTAGCTATTCTGAAGCTTGCATTTGTTACCGAGCGAGGTTGGACGTTGCCTACTCAACGTACTAGTTAAGTGCCAGTTCAGTGGGATGGAGAGGGAAGGGTATGCGGATAAACATGATGCAGGATATATGAACGCTGGGGATCTCGGTAAAGCGGCCGGCGCTGCGGTGTTTGCACAGCCTGCTGGTTTAGGTTTCGCAGTAAGCCAGGAGCGTTGAGTTACTGCAGTTTTCTAAACGCCGTCGTATCCTTGGAGTCCGGTTGCTTAGTATTTTTTCTCTTCTAGATACAGCACACAGAAGACATGGAAAATGAAATAGATGAGCTCTTACAGGAATTTGAAGAGAAAAGTGGAAGGACTTTTCTTCATACTGTCTGCTTTTATTAAAGCACATGTGTCTCTTAGGCCTTAATACAGATGAGGGAAGCATGTGTTTAAAGTTCTGATTATACTGTATTTTCCTGGAAAAATGAATATTGATCTCATTTAAAAACTCCTTTTCAGTGTCTTTTTGTTTTGTTTCAGGTATTCTGTCACAGGTAGACAGAGATGCTGGTTGGCATTGTACATATAAGATGATTAAAAGTATACACAAAGGCCACCTATTTAAAAATGAAAATCAATATTTTCTTTAATTATTGCAAGTAGGTTTTTAATTATAAAGAGAATGTTTCTTGAATATAAGTTTATAATGTATTTTTCCAGCTCTACAAATTTATTTTATTTCACTTGTGGGTTCGTTTTTCTTTTTTTATTATTATTTCTATTTTGATGTGACAGAATGGCTGAACTATGTGAGGAGATGAATGGAATGATGAAAAATGAGTATCTGTATATTATTAGATATAAAGTTGGAAGCATACAATAAAAATTAAAAACCTACAGGTTTGTCTGTTTTCACGATAGGAGCTAAGTGTGACTGTGCTTATTCATCCAAAGAGTCTTGGAGAGGGGAGTGACAGCAAGATCATCTTGATAGGAACCAAAAGACCTAACGGTGTCCCTTGTGTGGTTGGGCAGCTCCGAGTGGTTTTTGAGCCTGTGTTGAACTAAAATGAACTGCTTTCTCTGTATGAATTAGGGCACTGCCAGGAAATCTTTCAGTTGTTTTTGAATTACCATGTGTGACGTCAGTAGGACTGTGGGGCTGTAGCTGTAGCAGTCAGGGTCAGCTGTACGTATGTCTTCTGTGAGGAGGACAAACCCCACTGTCAATGGAAGTAGTTTAAAGGGGGTTTTTTAAAGCGAAATACCTTTTGGATAGGAGCATTCTCTTCCCCTTCAGCATTAGTAAATAAGCTTGTCACAGCTCAAAATGCAGAAATTGAATATGTGTATACAAACAGAGCAAAAGCTCAGACTTTTGTTCATTCAAGCTGGTAAAAGTGAAAACCCCCCAAATTATTAGACATTCAGAAGGTGAATGGTAAAGTGTTGATGCTTACAGGCAAGAGAAGGTCTTAAAAGTTGTTTTGTTAAAGGAACCTGTAAATAATTTGGAGCAAATGAGGTCTGTGCTTGTTAATACTCGGATAGGCGAGGACAACTTTTTAAACATCATGTTGAAAGTGAGGTACCAGGAAATAGGGTTTGAGCTCCTGGCTCCTCTTTCTCATTCTATCACTGACCCCTGACAGCACGAATCACCTGATTTTCCTTCCCTTGAATCATTTTGCACACGCAGGAAGTTAGCGCTAAGTACTTCCCTTTGGCTGGGACAGCGTTCCCCGTCTGTGCAGACAACTTCGGCTGTGCACGTGGTAAGTCATACCTAACCTCTTCCAGTGAACATGCTCACCTGTGGCATCTCCGCACCTGAAAACTGCAAGTCTGTGTCTGAAAAGACTTCTTTGTGAGTCTTGAAGTCCTTCGAGTCAGGCCGCCAGAGAAATCTTACACCTCTTGCTACCCCTGGCATCTGGGAGTTGGCTGTGGTTTCAGCTGCCACGTAGGAAAGCTTAGACCTCTGCCAGCTCAATCTGTGTCCTGGACAGTGTCCAAATGGGTCACTGCCTTGTACCTGGGTCCCAGGAATGTTTAATAGCCCTGAATTACCTGTGCCGGCTTTCTTGTCTGTAAAAAAATCCCTAACGCAGAAGCTTTGTGGAGAAGGAGTAAGTAGAACAGTTAGGGTGACGGGGTGTTCCAGCAGCGGCTGTGAGAAGGTTTGCAGAGTGAATATTTCCTCATTGCCTTGTCCTGTCCCGTTTTGTTTCCGGAGATCCTGAGGGATTTCATTCGGGCTCCTCTGATTCTGCACGTTGGTCTGTTGCGACCGGTGCCCGTTACCATGGGGATGTTTACAGCCAAAGGAAGAAGACGATTCTGTAGGGACTGAACTGTAGTTGATCTCTCCAAAAGGGTGTTTCAAGCAAGCGCAGTACTGAGCGTTGGGGGCAGTTTTCCTCCCCTGTGCAGCATCAGCACTGAAGTCTGCCCCGGCAAGGTGGAACTTGGAGGATGTTTGAAAACGTCGTCTGCTTTCGACGTAATTAATCCTAAGGAGAGCTCTTTGTTGTTGTTGTCTTACGGAAGGCAGTAAGAACCCAAACGGGCTGTTTCAACCCCTGGTTGGTGTGTATGTGGAGGTTTACAGAAGTGTCCTTTATATTACGCAGAGATCACGCTTCCCACGTGCATCATTGGCAGAGCTGTGGTTGCTGTAGTGCCGAGTTAATTAATTAGTAGAACTTTGCTGCATCTCTTCAACAGAAATGAGAAGTCTTTGTCTAAAAACGTAATGCAGGATGTTACAGAATTGTTCTTTCCATCCTAAACACTGGTCAGAAGCAAAAGCAGCACTGGGAGCTGGTCATTTGTTCCAGTTTGTGGAAGGACGTTTCGCTGGCTGGATGACTGACCCGCGTGGCCGGGTAAGCATTCTGAACGACCCACAGATCCAAGTATTGCACACTTCGGGGGGAAAACCTTGTTCTTCACCTACAGCGGTTCTTACCCTGGCACGACTGCTCGTTGAACATCCAGGTTGGTGGAAAACGTGTTCATATAGTCACGTGGTCTCCGTTGGCTTCGTTTGCATTGAGATCCACGACGAAGCTCAGTTCGTACAGGAATGTTTTGGGGTCCTGGTCTTGTTGGAGAGATACGTGCATTTAGACACACACAAGTATGTGTGCAGGTATACAATAAACTGGCTAAACACAAGGTCAACGTTATTCTTTTGTGTCAAAAAGAACTTGGAAGAGGAACTTTGGTTTAAAGGAAATGGGAAAAGTAATGTGTTTTTCCTCTGAGGATAGGGTGGCGTACGTATGGTGTTGGTGTGCTCTTCCCTGCGGGGTAGAGACGTGGATACTCCTCTTGGTGAGTGTCGGTGCTGGAAGATGGTCTGTTTCTTTTTAAGCCCTGCAGTTGGCATCCTTCCTGATTGATGAAGGAAAACCACGTTCACCTTACGGACACGGGCTGGGTATTCAGAATTCAGCTGTCACGGAGATTTGTGTTGGAAATGAGAGTTTTCAGCTATCTAGGCTGTTCTCCCAGTTTCCGTAAGGCCAGCAGAGGTGGCTTTAAAGCGCAGATTCCGCCCAGAGGCGCGCTGTTCCCCTTTCTACGCGCAGGGGCTGTTGGTCAGCATTTCTCCCACCCCGACTTTCCGTGAGAGGCCGTACGGATTGAAGCAGAGGGTCTGTCGAACTGCGGTTATGAGGTCTCTTCTCTTGTTGCTGTGAAGTTGAGGCGACCTCCTCCGAGGGCGGATCTTTGCCAAGCACTGGCTGAGGTTTCCGTCTCCGGCCTCTGAGCCCGCCGCAGATCCTTTCCATAGGGCACGGAGCTCACCTCTAGTCTGCCGGCTGGTTTTCTGTCACGCAAGTCGCTTTTGATTTTGGGTCTGTTTTCTCTGTTTCTTGTCTCGCTGAAGACTTCCGTGACATTCACGAACGTCCGTTCTGTCCAAGACGGCACGTCTTCTGATTTTTTTTAAGAGCGGTGCTTTCTCTCCCCTCTGCGCTGCTGGTGTCTTACCCTTGAGCTCCCCGTCGCCTTCCTTCGCTCGCACGGGGTGCGGCAGGGAACGCGGTCAGGCTGCACGCGGTGGGTAAGAGCATCTTCCCAAGGACTGCTGGATCGGACTGCGGAGACCGGTGATCCTAGCTACAGCTCCCCAGCGCGGCAGCCTAATGCGTTTGTTGCTAGGCAGATTATCCAGCTTCAACTTTTATTTTTCCTACGTGGAGGAGCTCAGGGGAAGGTATCGAGTGCACGGACTGGCAGAGGAACTGTGAGGAGAACAGGGGAGTGAAGCTGTCGGTGTACAGGGGGGGTGTTAACTGGGAGTGGAGCCAAGTGCCGCTGGGGTCTGGTAAGGCAGAGTGGGCTCATCTGGAGCAGGTTTAACCAACTGGCCCGAGGGAGCTAAAGACAGAAAAAGGACTGGGGACATGCTGACTGAATCCAGAGGGGATCTGACCTGAGCAAACATGTCATCGGAGGGCCGGGGAGTGAGCAGAGGCAGGGCTGGAGGGAAGAGAGGACAGTGACTGGACTGGGTCACGTACACGGACTCGGGAACTCGTCTGAGGGCACGACGGGTGCAAGGGCCGCCACAAAGCTGTGGGCTAAGGGCAACCTTGAAGGTGTCGATGGGCATTAGAGGGGTCCTGGTTGGGCCAAAGACACCGAAGGAGGCTCAGGGACGCAGGGGAGAAGTCTGGAGGGGATTGAACAGAGTACAGGCGTCCTCAGGAGGCCGGGTACCAAATGGAGGCACCCCAGATGGCAGAGAGGGCAAGGAGAGAGCGCTGAGGCGCAAACAAGCCTGTGGAGGAGTTCCTGAGGGAACAGGAGGGGATCGACGTCTGCTACGGAGCTGAAAGGGCGGTGGTATGCAAAGTTCTCCGGAGGCACGGTGACTGGGAACAGAGGGAGCGTGAAAGGGTCGGAGGGATGGGAGAGCTTGGAAGGGAGGTAGAGTGCTACCAAAATGCTCTGCAGCACCAGGGAGGTCTCGGGAGGCATTCCGGATGGCACAGAGAAGAATTGGGAATTCTTTTTGGGGAATGGGGATGCGATTGCAATACAGAGTGTCCAAAGGGGGCTTATGGAGCTGATGTGTGCCGTGGGGAACATCTAAGCCCTCCGGAGGCATTGTGACAGTGGCAGAGGGGTTCTGAGAAGGCTCGAGGACATGAGGATGTCATCCAGGAGGGATTTGAACCGACTCCAGACTCCTCAGGGGAGCAGGGACTGAACGGAGGTATCCTAGCCGGCGTAGAGGGTAGCATGAGTGTTCTGGAGATGAAAGATGGCATCAGGAAAGGTTTTTGGGGAGCAAGAAGGGTGTGAAGTGCTCTACAGAGCTCGAGGAGGGCTGTGGGTCGCGCTCATGGCCCCAAGAGGCATGATGGCGGCAGAATGGGGGTGTCAAGAGGGAGAGAGAGACGGGAAGGCTCAGGGACACAGTGCCAAACTCAGGAGGGGGTCCCAGCAAGGCACAGATTTCCTCAGGGGATGAGAGAGGGAACAGAGACATCCCAGATGGCAGGGAATGACGTAAGGGAGCTCTGGGGCATGGAGAAGGCCGAGGAAGGGTTCTGTTGGAATAAGAGAAATACAAAGCGAGCTGCAGAGCTTGAAGGGTGACAGGAATTAGAGGGTGAGCAAACGTGGACCAAGAGACAAACGAAGGATTGCTGACACAGCAAGGTGCTTGGGATCTGAACAGAGGACACATGTCCCCCTGGAGCAGGGACCCAATGGAGGCACCTGTGGCCGAGGGGAAGGTAAGAGCTCTGGGTCAAAATCATGGAATGGTTTGGGTT